CTGCCTCGGAGACACGGTCAAGTTGCTGAAACTACTCCCACTTAGTGTTCTTGTAAACTACTCAATCCATTTCAAATTGTAAGACGTTTGACTTTTTTGACATCAAGTTTAACCACTCGTCTTATTCAAAAATTTGTGTAAAATATCACTTCTTTCGTCGTGGTTTGGTTTATTAATAAAAATTCTTCAAGAATGATTTAAATTTGACTATATTTGCACAAATTTTTTGAATAAGACGAGTGGTCAAACTTGAAACAAAAAAGTCAAACGTCTTACAATTTGGGATGGAGTAATTTGAAGGACCATTCTTCCTTTAATATATGGTCATGAAGTTGAGTGCATTACATCTCTTCGTAGCTAGATACAACCGCGTTCCTTTACATTTGACAATAGCTCTGATTCAAATTGTTATACTACTTGGTCAGATCCTGAATTGGGAATTGGGATGCAGCGACACAAAGTTGTATTGTGTTGGTGCCACTAAGAACACTTGTTTTTACCCCTGATTTGTATCCTTTGCCCGGAATTTGTTCGGATGTATCCTTTCTGTGTGCTACTGTGGGAGACTCCTGGCTAACTAACACACACGTTCTCCATCGATATTGGAGCAAGGAGCAAGCCCGGATAATGTTCTCCTTTGAGAAAAGAAAACACATTGACATTTCTATGTAAATCAGCTGCTGTCTACCGATCACACTCGATGACAACTGAATTATTACTTTTTGCATTATAAACTGCCAATGTTTTGATCCACTGATTTATGGATACAAAATCATGGCATTTCCGATGAAAGGAACTACCAAGTACCAACCTCGTGTTTCCGGTTTTTGCCGGGAGAACTACTGGTGGTGTGTGAAGTTTCTGTATAGCCAATTATATTCGTGCTTGAGTGCCACTAGTGCCAGTTCATGTTCTTATTGGCCATAAAAAGTTCCACGTTCTTTTTCCTTTAATTTTATGTAAGTTTATTTCTCTCATTAATTAGTAAATCAAATTTTTGTATAAGACTTTCCAATCAGCAATGCCAGTGGCTCGAGCCCCCCTACTCGGCCTTTATATTGGGGACGCCCAGTGATATATAAATACAATATAGTAAGAGACAAATTACTATCTATCCTAGCTACCTTGGCTCCAGCTCCATTATTGAAACATTATCTCGCTAGAGAAGGAGCGTTAGTGATGTTAAGCAACATCACATTCACGGCCAACATGGTGGGCCTGTCAGCAGGGCTGGTCTTAAACGCATAGCAGTCCAATCTGAATGCACCTCTTCAACATCTCACTGGAGCTACTCTTCAGGGACGACGAGTCCACGATTATCTGCATCCAACTAGGATGTTATACATGCAAAAAACGACAATAATAAGAACAAGAATCATGGACATTAATTATGAATTATATAGATGTTATTAAGAAATTATACAAAGAAGAGAGGAGAAATAAATAAAAACACTAGTTAATAATTAGAGCCCTTTTACAGTACTTGAAATTGCCTCGCGTTGCCTCCCATTGCCTCCATAAAATATTAATTATCATCATAAAGGGTATGCTGGTCATTTCACGTGCCTATCACTACTCGCCGCGCCCCCTCCCCGATCCGCGCCCGACGCCGTCGTCCCGACTCGCCCTCACACTCGGCATCGCCCGACGCCCCGACCCTGCACGCGCTGTCGCGTTCACCAAAGCCGCCACCGCCGCCGCCGCCCTCGCACGGCGCCGCGCCGGCCTGCCATCGCCCGCACTGCCCTGCTCTTACCCTAGCGACCGCTGCCCTGCTCTCTCCCTCCCTCTAGCCGCCGCCGGAGCCTCGTCGCGACGGCGGCCCAGCCGCGCCGCTGCCCCCGCCCCCAGAGCGAGGGCCGCGGTGGTTGCCTCCGTCGCCGCCTTCGTCGAGTCCGCCGGATTCCCGCGCGCCCTCGCCGCCCTCCAGTCCGAGGCCAGCCTCGAGGTACCAACTCCCCTGTAATCCGATCACATGATGAAACCTCGAATCAATTTGGTTTGTGCTCATTCTGATTCCATTCACTACTCTTTCATATGGAGAAATCGAGCATATTTCCTTTGTGTATAGGCTAATGCAGAATGGAGTTGTATGTTCAATTCTGCAACAAGAGAATAGCACTTGTTTATTTAGCTTGATTCTGGCAAAGCATGTGCAGAGAATGCTTCTACTGCTTCTTTAGCTAGGCCAGCTCTGTTGTGAGAACTAGCAAGATGTAATTGAAATAAAATAAAACTGAAATGGCTTACTTTTTCTAGTTCACTGTTAGGTGTATGTGATTGGATTGGATGAATAGGTCAAATATTTGTTTTTTTTAAATAATAATCATTGTACATAACTAATTTGCTATATATGTAGTTCGTTCATGTATGCATCAAGAGTTTCTCCATTAATGATTTTAATATAATATATTGATTGAGATGAAAACAAAAGAAATGTCATGTGCGGCATATCTTCATTTGTCCACTGAATTTCGGTTACCACACTTCTTGGTCGTCCCATGGGCCTGTTTCTCTGATAATTGTGTCTCATGGTTGTCCCATGAGCCTATGTTGTTCAAATATTACACACTCGAACTTTTGTTGCTTTACTCATTTTTTTCTATGATGTTAATCACTGGCTGCAACTGTACACATAAATATCCATTTTTTAGTTTCTTACATATTCTCAAGTGTCATGATCTTTATTATCTGGAACTGGTTAGATATATGCAGCCATGCAGGACATGTTTTCAACAAAAGCTGTTGCATGTGTGTTTTTAGCATAACCATCCAATATTTTTCAATAAAAATAGTTCTTTAAATTTGGTATTTAATTAGTTTAACTGAAAGACAACAAACTAGCTTAGGTACAGTCATGCCATACTACATCTTCCTATTATTTCGAAAACAATGCTATTTTAGTATCTTCTAGAAAGTTTACACACTTTTTAGGTGTCTTCATGGATAAGAAAAGAAACCAGTAAAGTATTTGTTTATTTGAAGAAGCATGATCAATAATGTTTTTGCAATATGAGTAGGCCTGAATCAAAAGCTGTAAGTGGTTTGTTGCATCTCCAAGAAATCTTTGTAGACTCATTTAGTATCAGCGTTGATGACTAACAAAGAATGCTAGCATTCAATATATTTTTAATTCTGAGTCATCACCTGTGCAAATTCAGCTGATGCCTGCTAGCAGATAACTTCAATATATTTGTAACTCCGAGTTATCATCTATGTAAATTCAGTACACTTCTTATATTTGTTAATCTGTGTAAATTCGGTACACTTCTTATATTTGTTGTTGGTTTTCATTCCCTTCAAGAGGATGCTAGCAGATAACTCAGGAAAGTTTTTGCCAACTTATACCGCAGAACCTTGATTGGGACCCAAACAAGACAAGACTCTATTATTGTATTATTGAGAAAAGGGGTGATAACATAGCAACCATTTTTAAGGTTTATAGTTTCTTATTCTCTTCTACTAATGTCTCCCTATCCCTGTGATGGTCTTTTATCCTGCCATGTATTTCTTTTTTTTTTCCTTTGACCTGTCTGTTCCTTTTTCATTTTCTGCTGCATGGCTCACCTAATCATTGTAACTGATAGAAATTCCTTTCCCAAGGACCCAACTTGTGTAGGAACTTCTACCACTCTGTATGCCCTTTTTATATATACCTCCCCCACCCCCCACCCAACCTACACACACTTGTGAAATATTAAATACCAAAAAAGAGAAGTACGTTATCGTGATCTATTCATGGCCTTGTCATTTACTACTTATCCTTGTTTGTCTTGTCATACAGCACACAAATTTGATAGTGATATCTTCCAGGTTATTTTCTAAAAAAAAAACTTCTTGAACAACACACTGTCACCCTGCACCTTTCACAAGGGGGAAACCTGGCCCTGAACCTGCATACATACCTGAACTATGGAGGGGTATACACAGTATTGAGTATTGGTATTGACATGTGCAACTGCACACAAATTTTGTGATTCAAGTTTATTAGTTGGATTTTTATTGTCATCTTTGATCATCCTCAGTAGTCAACCAGGTATAATTCAACCTTGTCAATCAATTATTCTAAAAAAAAACCTTGTCAATCAATTTTTGAACCGTTTGTCATCATGTTCATGCATTGCAAAGAAGATTGGATGGCTACTTTGGTGTATCATTTATTGTCTGATGTTTGAATATTGTGTACTCTCAATCTAACATTTTTATTCTAGTGCCATATCCACTCTTGCTTTCATATGTGCACTCTCTCTCAGTACTGTTTGGAAAAGGTGTTATCCTTAGTATTGCGAGCAGACACAGTTGACAGAATCAATTGTTCAGCCTAGCTACTTCTTTCTTTGCTTTCTTTTTCATGACTTCAATAGTTACTATCAACACTGCTTCTATTCTCTTGGTATGCAAGGCTAGGTATATATGTCACAAATTGTTATGACAAGGGACTGTTCAAGAATGAGTTAACACACAACACAATCATTTACACTTGAGACTTGTGCTAAGTATTAACATGGTTTCTCTCTTTATTAGAGGACTAGCAGTTTATTGTTTATATGTCTACTACTACAGACTTGTTAACTGTTCTGCTGGTGATATAAGTTCTGCATCCTTGACAAATTGGCAGAGTTATTTCATCTATTTGTGTTCAATTAATTAGCATAGCTATTGCTTTTCCTCCAGTTGTGGATTCACTTGGTGTTAGTGAAGCTTATTGATGTTTTAGTTATGTGATTATCTTTCCCTCTTGTCGGGGTTGTCTTGTATTATTTTTGGATATAATAGGTCACTGCTCATGCACCTTGGCTGGTTTCTGTTACACCTTGGTGCAGCTTGTTTCTGTTACACCTTGGCTGGTTCCAAGTTTCAAATTTCAGCAGCCTGCCATGTTCTAAAACAGCTTTCATTAGAACATAGCAGGCTGCTGAAATTTGAAACTTCAAGTGCAAAATGAATTTCAATAATAAAAACATGTGCATCCTAATGAAAGCTTCATTTTTCAGGAGGAAATGTCGGATGATGATTCTTTGCTGGAGTACAGTGAAATTGTTATGAAGATGTTTGGCAGTGAGGACGACGGATTTGAGTTTTATAACAACTACGCTTATGAGAAAGGATTTAGTGTGAGAAAGGAATACTGTGAATGGGACAACGACCACAATGAGAGGACCCTTCGGAAGTTTGTTTGCAGCTGTGAAGGTTTCCGTGCAGAGAAGGAGGTGTGGAGGGAGATCAAGAAGCGGAGGCCGCGGAATATCACTCGTTGTGGATGCCGTGCTCAACTTGTGATTGCACAGGATCCGAACACAGAGCAGTGGTATGTGAAGGATTTCATCGACGAGCACAACCATCCGATGACGGAACCAGACCTTGCTTGCTTTCTGCGTTCACATAGAAGAATCAGCGATGATCAGAAAGCAGAGATTGTGCAGCTGCAGATTTCTGGGATCCGCAAACACCAGATAATAGATATTATGGTTAGGCGGTACGGTGAGTATGATAAGGTTGGATTTACATCAAAGGACCTTTACAATTTCTGCCATCGCAACAAGGCGGAGACACTTTCCAGTGGTGATGCTCGAACAATCATCAGTTACATGACATAATCGAAACGTAGAGATCCTGATTTCTTTTTCAGTACAAGACTGATGGGAGAGGGCACCTGACGGGACTGCTCTGGTGTGACTTTCAATGTCAGATGGATTATAGAGCGTTTGGTGATGTCGTCGTGTTTGATGGCACGTACAAAACGAATCGATACAACCTGACCCTTGTTCCTTTTGTTGGGGTGAATCACCATAAAAGCACGGTTCTTTTTGCCTGTGGAATTCTTTCTCACGAGGATACTGAGTCGTATGTGTGGCTGCTTAGGTCATTCTGTGATGCGATAAGTATCTGTGCTGCAACTGCAAGAACAATGTCTCTCCGTGCCTAAATCCTGTCGGTGGCATCGACGACCTGTTGGCGTGGTGCTGCAACTACTGGAGCCATGAGATCCGTAGATGCTTGAATGGGTGTCAGGACTGGAGTGATGAGGAGGACGTGTCAGACCACCAGGTATCTTCTTGCACGGCTGCACGTAATTTGTTCACAACCCACTTCATTTGACATGTATTATTTTTGGCATGTATTATTTTTGACAGATTCCATACTTACACGATGACACAGCCCTTAATTGAAAATCAGTCTTACTGGGCATGGGCTGTCAATAGACAAAAGAAGGTCGATGCCATGAAAAACAGCCTCGAGCGCACCAAGGAAAGATGATAGACGACATGTCTAAGATTATCGGGGATCTCAGAGGGAAGGTCGAAGCCAGCCTTGGCAAGATTTAAAAACCATACCAATATATTGTAGTTTTATCGTACGCCCGCATGAGAGCGTTAGCGTTCTCTTTTCCTAGTCTAAATTTCTGATTCTGAACACATGTATTTCCGCTTGCTTAACAGAAATGGTTGATCTCATGTCAAAAGAAAATGTCTGTCTGATTCCATGTTCAAATCGGCGACTGTAAGTGCGAAAAGTTGGAGCTACGAGTTTACATTATTTATCCAACAGGCCGTCAAACTTAGTTGCGACATGATTAGCTTTCAGACCGTGCCGATGAGCTTGATTGACTTCATCAGCCAGCTTTATGGATTCATGTCTCTGACCTGATGGAGAGTCCATATGTGGCTTCCAGAATGAAACATAGCCTATGATGTATATTATACTATACATGCTTGCAGAAATAAACATAGGGTAATACACAGAAACTAACGCAGCAGCGCACAAGCAAATCATCGCATTGAACCTCCTTCCAGTGTTTTCCCACGAAAAATGCTAGATACAGCAAAAAAGTGGACTGTAACATGGGGCGACTTTGTTCATCCGGATTCTGTATCTGATAAAACCATCGACTGAAACTATATTGAAGACAGTGTTTCTCTTAAACTACTCTCGTCCACGGTGGCGTGGGACTGGGCTGGACGATCACTTCACTTCTTTTGTTTGCCCCCCACGTTCAGTTGCTGGAGTCCAAGCAAAAGGTCCCTGGAATCAAGGAACACCTTGTTGCTTGAGGCCGCCATGGTGTGGGAGATCTCCCTGGCAGCTTCAATCTGTCTCAGAGCCAGGAAAGCGGGGTTGTTCGCAATGGCTTGACCAATCAGCTCAGCACTCTTAGCCTCACCCTGTTCAAACACAAGTCACAAACAGACAGCGATTCAGAATCATCAGTGTAAAAAGGGAATAATGCAATGGTACATACACAACTGCATACAGAGACATAAAGAACACTGTTTTCAGCGTGAGAAACTGAAACTACAGGCATATTTCAGCGTGAGAAACTGAAATTACAGGCATATATTTAACATCTCGAAGGAAGTAGATTAAAGTCATTGCATTTTTTTCTTTCTTGTAATTACTTGTTTCAAGCCAGACAAAGGACATGCTTATACAAGAAGGGTAGCTACTGACCTGTGCCCTGATGATTGCACTGCGCTTGTCCTGCTCGGCCTTCTCAACAATGAACTTGGCACGCTCAGCTTCTTGTGCAGCAACCTATTTGGCTTCAATGGCATGAGTAAACTCTTTTCCAAAGCTGAGGCTTGTGATGGACACATCATCCAGAGCGATATTGAAGTTGTTGGCCCTCTCAGTCAGAATCTTCCTAATCTCCCTGCTCACAGCCTGCATTGGAATTGAATGCATGAATTGTTAACATATCCTAATCTACTGCAATCCTAGCAAGACAGTTGTTATCTAGGGAACATGTCTCAACACATGAAGCAGTACCTCTCTCTGTGTGATCAGCTGACTGGCATTGTATTGAGCAACCACAGCTTTGAGTGTTTCATGAATGATTGAAGGCAGAACTCTCTCATATAAGTTCTCCCCTAGGTTCCTGTAGATTTTAGGTAGCTGATCTAGCATGGGTCGAGTAAGACCACGAAGACCAATTCTCACCTGACCAAGTTACCAACTCAAAATCAAATACATACATAAAAGAACAGTGTTGATGTGCTTTTCAGCAGAAGTGAATAACAAGAAAATTGCAAGTACGTACACATGAAGAAATGGTTATATGCTTTTCACAATCAATTAGGCATAGAACAGTTCAGAAAACAGAAAGGTGGGATGTTTACCTGATATACAACCCCAAAAGAACCAGTTCCAACCACATGTTCAGCGATGTATGTGACAGACTGTTTCACAGCACATATCATCATTTGTCGGATAGTTTTTTTTTTACCTCCAAACGATCATATATATCAAGAATCAAAGTAAAATTACCCTCACCTGTTTAGGCAGGCCGTTGCGCCCACGAATTGTAGTTGCTATTACATGACCAGCTTCATTACTAGAACTATCAGTCGCATCTGAACTTTGACCCCATCTCCTGAAAAAAAAGAAAAAAGAAGAAGAAGAAGAAGAAGAAGAAGAAGAAGAAGAAGAAGAAGAAGAAGAAGAAGAGAAGAAAGAAAGATCAGTCGCATCTGAACTTCACATCTTCTGCCTCATCACTTTCCAAACCCTGTAGTAGCAAGAGACAGTCAGGCAGTGCTGTCAGCACAAATCAAATATCAGCAGAGATGTTGCAATCCTAAAGAAACAAGATCAGTAAGATCAGTTTAAATAAGTCGACATGCAGTCGCACATATCCACGATCAGTAAGATGTTGCAATCCTAAAGAAACAAAGTGTGACCTCAATCACAGTACCAGCTCATGGCCATGATCAACCATATAGCCATGATCAACCATGTTGCAATCCAAAACATAACTCAACTACTAGGCAAAGATTTAGAATAATTCATTCTGTGAGCGTTTAGCATTCCCTTCATCTGCTATCATCTGTGGTTCAGACTAGCAGTCATGTTGTTGGCAGCCATGGCCTCAAGCCCTTGAAAGTGGCACTAGTACCTGTTGGTTCAGATGACCTGAAAAATAAACAAACATTAGCAGATGTCACTTAATTCTCTGTTTTATCCATGTGCAAGCTATAATGCAGTATCCCAAAAGAGAGATAGAAAGTGGTGTAGAAGTGTTGTGCTTAGCTTTTAATGTTGTACAAGTGTTACCAAACAAAACAAGACTAAAACCGGCCTCACTTTATAGTTTTATAATCGCTATCACCACCGATCATTTAAGCAAAGGCAACTAGCTCTGAAATGCCAAAGTAACTACTCCTATGTCCTTGACACTAAATGACAAAATATCAGCCCCTTCTGCAAGGGAAAACTTCTCTTAAAATTTGCAATGATTAAAAAGAAGCTGACTGCTCCTTCCATTGAAGCAGATATGGTGGATGTGAGTTCTGTCAGGACACAAATAATAGACATCATGTACCAGAAAGGAAAATCTAACTGAGACAATTGCTGCACTAAACCATTTGCCTATCCAAAGAAATGCATGTTGCAGATCTGAACAGGTATTCATCCTTACAAATAAAAATCATCAATGCATATACTCACACTAGCTTTGCCGCTATACCATCAGGTTAGTTAAGTTAAATATAAGCAAAGCCTTCTTAAACAGGTAGTGCTCCAAAGCTTTTGAAGCTAATATAGAGAAAAACTTGCCTAGAAGAACAGGAATGAAAGCACTAATGTGTTGAATGACATGTCAATCCTGCCCAATGTTACAAATGCTCCAACCAAGCCACCAGAGATTCTGCAAACTATGAAAGTCAAAGTTGAACCGGCTGACAGAACTATAGTTGTATCAGTAGCTCTTCATACTTCTTTTCACAGAACTCAAAATTACACATGATGGCTGTGTCAAACTAAAAACCTAAGTCCAAGAACATTTAATTCAAGCTCATATCTGCAAATGAGATTTGTCAATAAATAATTCACTAACTAAAGAGAGCATACTTGACAGTTTCTAACCTAGTATACGAAAACCATCAATCCTGTAAGATCATACCCCTTTTGCCAATTGGAAACAAGCACTGTATGCTAGGATGAACACACAATTGCAAGTGATTTGTATGAACTACTCTAGTAGTTACGATATTCTCTGAACTAAGAATCAAAAGACATGAACTTGCAGCAGCGAGAAACCAACACAGGTACGCGCCACGCCGGGTAAAGCGCATGAAGCGCATAATGAGGTCAACCCATGAGGAGCGTGCGCCGCCATGATTCACCGCCAAGAGCATGGCCACGTGGGGCGG